CCCCAATAGCTAGCAATCCAAAACAGTCCAGTGGAGCCTGAGCGGTGGGTGTTGCCTTCTGACACACTTCCGGTGATGTCAGGGGGTGTGGCATATGCAAATAAGTTATGCTAATGAGGTATGCTAATGAGCTCCTGGACCTCTTTTTCTATGAAATGACCCCTGCCTATTAGCACAACTCATTAGCATATGCCACGCCCCCTGACATCACCGGAAGTGTGTCAAAAGGGGAAGCAAAAGGGGGGGAGGCATCTTCAAAAGCCTCCCCTTCCCTTCCCCAGCCGGCCTGCCAAGGCGGGGTGGGGGGGAAGCGAAGAGAGAAGGGGTTTAAAGTTTAAACCCCTTCTCTCTAGAGTCGTGCGGCAGCGGCGGCACGATCTTTCCATTGTATTCTATGGTGCCTTAGGATACAATAGGAGATTGTGCCGCTGCTGCGGCCAGACTCTAGAGAGAAGGAGTTTAAACCTTAAACCTCTTCTCTTTTCGCTTCCTCTGCAAGCCCGCTAGGACCTGGGGACGGGGTTGCTGCCACCACCATTCGTGCCCGCTCCTGGGCTGCCGGAGTATCACTCCGGCTCGTTCCGGCCCCAAATGGCCCCTGGATAGCACCAAAAACTCAGTGTGAATGTGGTCCAAACAATTCCTCCATGCAGAGCTCTGGCTCTGTGAAGGCGTGAATGGCTTTTCAGGATGGGTCTCACGGGTAGAAGACGTCTGGATTGTGGAGCGGGTGAACGTTACGGCGGGAGGAGCCCTCTCGAAACTCATATCCTTCTCTTGAATCTTCAGATGTATGTTTAACAAGCGTGTTTACAGCAGAAAGACTCCGGGAAAGGAGGCCGAGCGGGAAGAAAGAGAATACCAAACCTTTGAAAGAATCATTGTTCATAAATTATACATCAAAGCACAGTTTGGTTGTTAATCTGTAAGTGTATAAAGCTACTGATTGTCTGCCTCCGTTTGAAAGGGAGACGTCTTTAAAAAATTTCCTTCACGTCAGGCGTTTCGGGGTTGTTTTTTTTAATAGTCTCCGTCTCAGTGTTGTTTACTTCATCTCCGTAAATTGAGGGACCCAGTATAGATTTCACCGGGCTGTCCTGGTAGCTGAAATTCTTGGCTGCTGCGCCCAGCAGAAATGAATCTTAATGGGTTCACTTCCCCGACCTTTGACCTCTCAAAGGGGAGGGGGGACTATAAAGAGCATTGGCAAGAGAGAGAGATGGAGATGTCTTGCTTGGGTGAAACCAAGACAGCCAGAGACAGACTTTAATAACCTTGAAGTCATGAGTACGAAACAAGGCAGCCATGGTATTTTCCTGATGATGATGTTTCTGGACTCTCTCGCGTGTGAGAAAAGAGGAATCGATAGCTGCAGGCCCAAAAAGGAAACCGATTGGGAACGAAAAGAAGACGGAAGGTGAATTGCGGAACCCTTAAATTGGAAAGAGGAGCTGTGGTGGCTCAGAGGTTAAGACACTGAGCTGCAGACCTGAAGGTCTGTAGTTCGGCAGTTTGAGACCCGAGTGCCGCATGACGGAGTGAGCTCCCTTCTCTGGCCCCAGCTCCTGCCAACCTAGCAGTTTGAAAGCAAGAAATTGCAAGTAGATAAATAGGGACTGCTTCGGTGGGGAGGTAACAGTGTTCCGTGCGCCTTGGCATTTAGTCATTCCGGCCACATGACCATGGAAACATCTCCGGACAGCGCTGGCTCTTCGGCTTGGAAACAGAGTTGAACACCGCCCCCTAGAGTCGGATCCAACTGGCTTTCAAGCCTTTACTTTACTTTACTTTACATTTCGATTTCTATACCGCCCCTGACCCCTAGTGGGTCTCAGAGCGGTTTACACTGTACTACGTATGTAGTTAATTACCTGACTAGGGTCACAAATTCACGGGGGAAGGGGATTACCTATCGGCACCCATGCGGCACATTTCTTCACCCGGCGGGCTTCAGATGTTATTCCTGACGTCTCGGATAGCTGGCGACCCTCTCTGGCAGGCTCCTGATGACTTCCTCCTCTGGCGCGCAACTGCTTTCAGACTGCAGCTTCCGGCTTTACATCCCGACGGGCTCCTGCCGTGCTGCGTCGTCTCGCTGTTGCGTTGCCTCGGCTCCGCCTCCATCCGTTCAGGTCGCCGCATCTTCCAATCGCCAGTCGCTCCACCGCCATTGTTCTCGCCGCCGTTGCTCTCACCGCCGCCGTCAGCACTCCTGGCACGGAACCAGGAGGAGGGTGCCCCCTGCCACCTAGGGCAGGTACCCATTCGTCTACTTGCTAATGCTTTCGAGCCGCTGGGTTGGCCTTTACTAAATTGGGTTTACCTTTACTAAATTGGAAAGGGCCTAGCAGGTCAAGCCCAGTTATGACACAGTCTGGGAGTTTTAAAGAAATGAAAATTTTTATTAAAAAATCACACTCCCCAAACAGAAGGAAATAAATATGGCAACAATGGGGGCAAGTCTACAGATCAGCCTCTATAAAAGTTTTCCAGATATCTAAAAATTATGTCCCTGTGAAATTGTTGTCAGCAGGGGTCTTGTTGTAGAAAAAGAGCTGCCGGAGCTCATTAGCATAACTCATTAGCATAACTTATTTGCATATGCCACGCCCCCTGACATCACCGGAAGTGACAGAAGGCCACACCCCCTGACATCACCGGAAGTGTGTCAGAAGGCCCGGCTACTTACCCTCCTGCTTCATCCTCATTCCCAAACGGAATGAGGATCGAAGCAGAGGGCGGGGTAAAGAAGGGGGCGGGGCTTCACCACATGACCGCCCCGCCCCCTAGAGGTTCTCTTCCGGAGCTCCGTACCTGAGAGCTCCCCCCCGACTAGAGCCCTGGTTGTCAGCATGTTGAACGTTCAGATGTTGATGAGGCTGAGAGAAGGGCAGTGGCTCAGTGGAAGAGCCTCTGCTTGGCACACAGAAGGTTCCCGGTTCAATCCCCGGCATCTCCAGTTAAAAGGACCAGGCAGCGGGTGATGTGAAAGGCCTCCGCCCGAGACCCTGGAGAGCCACTGCCAGTCTTGAGTAGAAGATACTAACTTTGATGAACTGGCCCTGATCTGGACAGCCCAGGCAAGCCTGATCTCATCAGGTCTCGGAAGCTCAGCAGGACCGACCCTGGCCAGTAATTGGAAGGGAGCCCTCCAAGGAATACCAGGGCTGGGACGCAGAGCAGGTAATATCAAGGCCACCTCTCTGAAACGTCCAGATCCCACTAGGGCTCACCAGAAGTCCCCATGACGTCCAGGCTCACAAACACACAGACGGACGCACACACACAAAGATATTCACTTTGATGGTCTGATTCAGTACAAGGCACCTTCATGCATTCATGTGAGGCCCTCAAGCCACTGGATGACTGATGCTGGGCATTTCTCTGTCCGGTGTTGTGATATCAGTCTTTTAGCAATGGGAAGGGTAAGAACACAAGAGAAGCCAGTGTTGGATCAGGCCAGTGGCCCCTCCAGTCCAACACTCTGTGTCACACAGTGGCCAAAAATACCAGGGGCCATCAGGAGGTCCAGCAGTGGGGCCAAGACTCCAGAAGCCCTCCCACCATTGCCCCCCTCCCCAGGCACCAAGAAGACAGAGCATCACTTGCCCCAGACATAAGAACATAAGAGAAGCCAATGTTGGATCAGGCCAAAGGCCCATCCAGTCCAACACTCTGTGTCACACAGTGGCCAGAAATACCAGGTGCTATCAGGAGGTCCAGCAGTGGGGCCGGGACACCAGAAGCCCTCCCACTGTTGCCCCCCACCCCCAAGCACCAAGAAGACAGAGCATCCCTTGCCCCAGACATAAGAATATAAGAGAAGCCAATGTTGGATCAGGCCAATGGCCCATCTAGTCCAACACTCTGTGTCACACAGTGGCCAAAAATACCAGCGCCATCAGGAGGTCCAGCAGTGGGGCCAGGACACTAGGAGACCTCCCAACGTTGCCCCCCCCTCAGCACCAAGAAGACAGAGCATCAATTGCCACAGCCTGAGAGTTCTAAGAGAGAATTAGATAAACATCTGGAGCAGAGGTCATTCAGTAGCTATTAGCCGCAAGGTACAGATAGGAACTCTCAGCCTGATCCAGCATTGGCTTCTCTTATGTTCTTATGGCTTACAATCTCCTTCCCCTCCCCACCACAGACACCCTGTGAGGTAGGTGGGACTGAGAGAGCTCTTTCGAGGACTGCTCCTGAGAGAGCAGCTCTGAGAGAACTTGTGACTGACCCAAGGTCACACCAGCAGCTGCAAGTGGAGGAGGGGGGAATCGAACCCGGTTCTCCCAGATTAGAGTCCGCGCTCCTAACCACTACACCAAACTGGTTCTGTGTGCGTTAAGTTCCGTCAGGTCGACTCCTGACTTATGCCGACCCTCTGAATCAACAACCTCCCAAACGTCCTGTCGTCAAGAGCCTTTCTCGGGTCTTGTAGACTGAGGTCCTTTGTGGCTTCCGGAACTGGGTCAACCTATCGCCTGTCAGGCCTTCCTCTTTTCCTGAATCCTCCACCTTTTCCTAGCATGATTGTCTTTTCCAGGGACTCTTGTCTTCTTAAAGCACAATGGCCTCCGTTTGGCCATTTCAGCTTCTAGGGAGAGTTCCGGATAGATTTGATCTAGAACCCGCTTGTTTGTCTTTTGGGGGGCAGTCCACCTCTCTCCTCCAGCATCACACTTCAAATGAAAGGTTGGGAGTGGGTCACATTTTATATACCAAAAGCTGAAGTCACGGTGGGTTTCCTAGACTGCAAAACACCGCTGTTGCCTTTTTGGAATTTCTCACCACGGAGATATATTTGTACTGTAAGCAGCAACTGGCATACTGTGCGGTTGGGGAGTGAGGGCGCCGTGGCCTTAAAAGAGCAGACAGCTGGCCCACGGGTGGGACCAGCCCCAGGCTTCGGAGGGCCCCCCAGCGCTGAGAGGTCCTGAGCCCCCCACCCCACCCACCACCAAGTCCTCAAGCCCCTCTTTCCCACCTGCATGCCTCTCAATTTGGCGTAGTGGCTAAGAGCGCGGACTAATCTGGGAGAACCGGGTTTCATTCCCCATTCCTCCACATGTAGCCAGCTGGGTGACCTTGGGTCAGTCACAAGTTCTGTCAGAGCTGTTCTCTCACGAGCCATCCTCGAAAGAGCTCTCTCAGCCCCACCTACCTCCCAGGGTGTGGGGAGGGGGAAGGGAAAGGAGTTTGTAAGCCGCTCTGAGACTCCTTTAGGTAGTGAAGGGCGGGGTATAAATCCAATCTCTTCTTTTACCTCACAGGGTGTCTGTTGTGGGGAGGGGGAAGGGAAAGGAGTTTGTAAGCCGCTCTGAGACTCCTTTAGGTAGTGAAGGGCGGGGTATAAGTCCAGTCTCTTTTTCTTCTTCTTTTACCTCACAGGGTGTCTGTTGTGGGGAGGGGGAAGGGAAAGGAGTTTGTAAGCCGCTCTGAGACTCCTTTAGGTAGTGAAGGGCGGGGTATAAGTCCAGTCTCTTTTTCTTCTTCTTTTACCTCACAGGGTGTCTGTTGTGGGGAGGGGGAAGGGAAAGGAGTTTGTAAGCCGCTCTGAGACTCCTTTAGGTAGTGAAGGGCGGGGTATAAGTCCAGTCTCTTTTTCTTCTTCTTTTACCTCACAGG